CACTGCGAGATAATGAGTTGCAGCATTATTATACGCGACTGACTTGGGAAATAAAGAAAAGGTTACGCAAGAAAAGTGCGCGCCTCTTTATATTTTTTAATATTATTATTATTATTATTATTATTATTATTATTATTATTACTGAGAAAATATTTTAATCAGCCTAAATAATTATTAAAAACAAATTTGTCTAATCCACAAAAAAAGAAATTTTAAAATTGATAATTTTGTTTAAAGTAATATAATTCCTAATTTCAAGATTCGTGCTATGAATTAATTGTAAATAATTTTTAATTAGATTTGATTAATTCTAATAAAAGCCATTTTTTTCTGTTTTGAGAGAACATGCGATATTTAAATTCGTTTTTGAAGCATTTCTTATTTCACTTAGTTCTAGAATTTCAAATGATTAATTAAATCTTTATAGACATTTAAAATTTTTCTGCTGTTTTTTTTAACTTATCTAAATTGAGTGGTGCCTTCTGCGCCACTAAGAAAGGGCACAGGCCGACAAAACTTTGTCTTGGCCTGACCTTAAAAATAAATAAAAAAAGAAAAACACGATCTGTTTTTAGACCAAAATACGGACAATGCACACTATAAAATTACCATGCAATCTTCAGTTAATTTGTGTTTTCTCATTTACATATATGGACTAAAGGGATATATAATTCATTAATCTCATGAAGTATAAATTCAAACCTAAATCTTTGACGTAAATAATTAAATATCGGTTGGCACAATCCAGCCACATCCTGTCCATGCACTGGAGGAGCGAGCGCGTCGGTTAATTTTTTTTCTTTTCTTCTGGTGGCAGTCCAGCTGCTTATCGGCGGCCGTTTTAATGCACAACGAAGTCCAGCAGCTGAAAAAAGGCTACCGACTTCTGAAATAAAATAAGTCTATGGAGGAAAGGACTAGATTTTTTCCTTTTGTCAAAATTTATAATACGGTCTCTTGATGCCAAAGTACAAAATACAATCATTCATGGTCTGGTTTGTGCAGGAAAATACGTCAGAATCTTCATAAAACAAAATGCAATTTTTCTTCATGAATTAGTTCATCGTCAAATTTATCATGCTCCAAAAATAGAAAAATCATATTTATTTTCAACTGGTGCGTTGCTTGTTTTGCATTCCTTCCACGCTTGCTTTCTTCAAGATTGAGCTTTTTAATTATATTCTTTCTAAGAAGATAATAGTGTCCACAAATAAATTCTAAGAAAATGGCACCGTCAACACACAAAAAAACACACACACTCACACTAAAAAATTAACAACAACAATGTTAGAAATTAACTTCACAATAATTTTCCAAAAGTCAAAGAGTTGCTGCGCCTCGGCGTGTGTGAATCGCGAGCGGCAGGTCGCTTCTCTCTCTCTCTCTCTCTCTCTTTCTCTCTCTCCATTGCCGGATCAATGGTACATGCGCAATATTGGCGGGTAGGAACCCTCGGTGGGTGAAGGGATGACCACCCTCGCTGACCCACTAGCCCCGTCAGCCACGCCCACCTGAGAGCGAAATTAATACAAGAGAGCACGCACAGCCTCATGATGTGCCCTGAATTCGCCAATCGATCCGAATAAATAAACATGATTTGCAATGGAGAAAATTGAAAAGGTTGACACAAAATCAATCAAGTAGCAGAAAACTCGCAAGACCTTTAATTTTTAGAATTCAGTTTTTTATTTATTATTAATTTGAGAACTCTTTGTAATAACTGTATAGAAGAATTAAATTAATTTCAATTTTCAATTTCAATTTGTTTATTCTCTACATAACAAGTCAAAATAAAAAAAAATAAGCAAGTCATAAAAATTACATTTGTAGATAATCGGCAGCCAATCCTGGTGAACAAGTCACTAAAACTCATAGGTCAAGATTGGAAACCTTGACCTACTCGCTGAACTGGGGCCGTTGCAAAAAGCTAATGGCTGAAACAATTTATTAAGAAAGCAAATTTTCAATTAATTTTCTAACAAAATTTAAAGGATCTAATTATCCCTCGCTTACTTGTGCAATAATTGATTGCAATTCAAGCATTTCCTTGTCAACTCTGTTGTTTATAATTCGGTGGCAAAAATTCAAAGAGTGACGACGGCGCTATCATAGCAAAAGCGAGAGAAAGAGAGGCGTTGACGAAAAGAGGACGACGGTGGCGGAACCACCACTACTGCCGCCGCCGCTTTGATATTATAAACAGAAAACGCGGTGAAGGAGGCGCGCGGACAGAGAGCAGCCAAGCCGAGTCAGTCATGCCATAATGCTCGGCGGTGCTCATCGGTGTCGTCGCCGCCGCCGCCTCGTTGCGATGCTGCAGGTGTTGGGCGTCGCACTGGACAAATAGCAAAAGAAGGCACCAACCTGGGGAAGGAACATTTTCTGCCGCCCTCGGCTCGCCGCACTATGATGGTAAAAAATTATTAAAAAAATCCATTTTCACTCCAAAATTAAATGGAATGATTTTGAAGAAAAAAATTAATCTTTTTTGCACCAAATTATCGATTTTTCTGTCCAAGATGATTTTTAAATTTTGGCGTGACTTTTGCATCGTTTCTCACCGCCCGAGATTGTTTGCGAATTAAAGTTGCTGTCTAGACAGAATGCACCTTGAGCAAGTGGCCGATTGTTGATGAAAACAATCAAATTGTGTTTTTCGCGGTGCTCGGTGTGTGGCGCCCCGGCACGAATGTATGGCGAAGGGGCGCTTTTGGCGGCGCCACCCCTCGGCGGCGTATCGACCTCCCTCTCGCTAGGTACTGCTCTCTCTCTTTCGTCCGCTATTATAATAAACTCCCACTACTCGGCGACGGCAACTCGGTCGCCTCTTTCCAGCACCGAGATGAGCCGCGACCGCGAGTTTACATTATAATAATAGACGACGCGCGGGCATATTGCGCCGCGTGTGCCCTCCTTTTTGCTCTCAAACACTGACGACAAAATCGCGCACGACCGTCGAAATGAGCATGACTTCCCAGTAAAAACGTCAAAGTTTGATCCAGTTTTGGGCGGGTAATTGCAGGTAGACGACGTCAGCGCCACTAATTTTTTGTGGTTTTGACAATCACCGCCTTATTCGGGTGTTTTATTTTTTTCTTATGCAAAACAAAACTTTGGAAAATGCAATATAAAAAAGGGATGAAATTTAAAATAATAATTAAAATGAATTAATAGCATAAAAGATTTAGTAACGAGTAAGAATTCTCTCAAATAAAAGTGTTGCTAGTGTCGTTGTTCAGATGGGAAACCCTTAAGTGTCCAAAAAAAAAGACATCTGAAAATATTTTTGACATTTGTCCGAAAATTTTTCATCAAAAATCATTTATCAGAACAACTGTTTTTATTTATCCGAAAACCTTTCATCAGAAATTAATTTATCAGAAAACGCTATTGCTTATTGTGCTCAGGTGTTTATGTCTTGGTTTATATGTGAAATGGACTAAAATCTAAACTTATTGATAGCAAAAATGTTATTTATTTCTTGATTATGATTTTGTGAGCACAACAGCCTTCATAACATATGAAAATTAAAATTGATTTTAATCACCGTTAGATCTTCATAATTTAATTAATTTAAAACAAAGTAAACTTCACTATCTTTAATTGCAGCATGGCACTAAATTATCCCCGTTGTGGGCAGCAATTGTCTTTGTGATAGATCAATAAACACAATTTGCAACTAAATTCAGTGACGATATAATTAAATTTGAATACACAAATTTCTAAGCGTACACAATAAAAAGTTTTTTTAAACTAATAAAAAATTCAGTAAAGTAACTCATAATCTTTCAAAACTATTGACCAATGAATTAAAAAAAAAAAAAAAAATAACAATAAATAAAAACACTAAAATTTTGAGAGTAAAAATAATACAACAATAATAGCCCAAATTTCTCTTCATTCAGAACAAGGTTCCTAAATTTTTAATTGCAAATATTTCAAAATGTTTACCAAATTGTCTCTCGGGCCAAATCCTGGGAATTTTCTTTGCAAATTGTGTCAAACACATTAATACTCACTCGCTGGCCGTTGGGCAAACCAGACTTGCAATTCGCTTTCGTGGGTAAATGACACCTGTGTGGGAAAAAATGGGAAGCTTTTCTTGCAAAACATAGATTATCAACCGCCGCCGCGCGTTAATGCTTGAAATTAGTGGCTACTTTTTCGTCGCAGACGAGACACCTCTTTTTGTCTCTCGCTCAATATGCACAAGTTGCTTTCGCATTACCGACACCGAGCGTAACGGCGACGAATGTAGCAACAAACATCCGTGAATTGTAATGAGGATCAAACGAAAACCTCCGGCGTTGAACTTTGCTTAAAATATATATTTTCCACTCTTCCCGATGCATTCGTTTTGAGCTCGGTTCTTTGGCGCCATTTTGGCGATAATTCGCTTGGAGAAGGAGAGTTGTTTCTGCTGATAAGCTGTTCCATCTCCCACTTTGTCCAAGACAAGCTATAAAAGCGGCTTGAATAAAATATTCAAATGTGAATGGATGAGAGCAAGCAAAATCGTGTATGACAAAATAACAAGCTCAGCAGATGACAAAACAAAACAGAGGGCGTTAATGTGAAAATTTGTGAAGGTCTTACGCTGAAAATCATTAGTTCTGTTACTGCACTAATAGTGCTGCGACGGGACTAACTGTAGTCTCATTGTCAGTCTAACTTTCAGATAATTTTTGTTTAAAAAGGAGAAATCCAAACGAAAAAATTAATGGATAAAATCGAAATATGTTTTTTACATGTGATTCTTCAAGGTGAGTTGAAGAAGGACAAAATAATATTCAAAGTGGTTGACGTCTTGTTAAGGTCACCATTGGCATTAATTTCTGATTTAATCTCTGTATAGGAAAAATTTACTTAAAACAATTGCAACAATCTATTACTTTACTTGTTACTTGTCTGCTTTAAAATCTAAGGAATTTAGCTAATTCCACCCCCAACGCCATCTAGCTTTAGAAATATGCGATTTAATATGAAATTTTTTGTTTCAGCAGCAGCAACAGCAGCAAAAATATCTGAAGCGGAATTCGGAAGAGCTGCAGGACGGGGGCGGCGGAGATTCAGGCTTCGAGCCGCCCCCAAAGATGCAGTGCACGGGTGGCCCGCAACAGCAGCAAGGGCCTCCGGGGGCGGCAGGTGCTCAGGGTCGGGGGCAGCAGCAGGGCGGAGGCGGCGGCGAAAGTCTGACCAAGTTCTCTGTGGAGGTGGTGCAGCAGTTTGAGTTCACGGCGTCGACGGCCAATGCGCAGGCGCAACAGATCTCGACCAACGTGACCGTCAAGGCGATGACTAATGCGTCGGTCAAGAGCGACGTCACCGCCGCCGCCTCCCCGGCCCCTGAGAGGGGTGCCACCCCCAAGTCCAACCCTGGCACGCCAGCCTCCGCGGCCACGCCGGGCTCATCGCAGGCAGGGACGCCGCAGCAGGGACGCTCATGCAGCTCTGTGGCCGGCGTCGACATCGGCTCCCTTGTCGAGTGCAAACAGGTCAGTTTCATTTTTTGGGGAAATGTGAAAATGAGGGAGGCATCAGAAAAAGCATTCCGATGTTCACATTTTTTTGCTAAGCATGTTAAACAAGCAACTACTTGGATGATTTTCGATTTTTAGGTCTGTAAGCAGTTTAAGAACGTTTAGAAAAACTAGCCGCGTAACAATTAGTGAAAAACCTACAGACTAGTAAACTAATTTGTTTGAAGAAGTTGACACTCGAGGAGATGATCATGGAAATGAAGAGATCGGCTTTTCCTCATTGCAGAAAAATTGTTTTTTAGTAAAAAAAAAAAAATGGCTCTACCAGTTTCGGTCAAGGTCTGGGACCCTATTTCATGAGCAAACGCGCGAGCTGACTAATACAAGAATGTAGAGCCATTTGTTTTTGAATAAAAAAACAATTTTTCTGCAACGAGGAAAAGCCCGATCTCTTCATTTCCACATTTTCCACTAATAAACTAATTAAAAAATTTTAATGTTTTTTTTTTAATTATTAGATTTTAAGAATTTTTTTACAACTTCACTGAGAAGGCCTAAATATTTTTGCTTCAAAAAGAGCTTCTTTTAATTGAAAAAAGAGTTTTAACTCCCATAGCAAAATGTTCAAAATTTACCATTTCTAAGATAATTTATTCTGTAGTTTTTTTATTTTGTATGGAACTTACTGAAAAAGAACAATACATTTAGTATTTTGGAATATACGTGGGGCTTTGATATAATTCTGCGAAAAAACTGGAAAAGCCTATTAGAAAATTCAATTATTTAGACGATATTTCATTTGAAGAAATTAAACAATAAAGTTCTACATAAGAAGTGGGTTAAAAACACCGGGACCCGGTGTGATGCTGGCGTCAGACACTTTTCAGTGCGTTTGGTCCAAGAGCTTAGACCAAACGCAAATTTTTTTTCAGTGCTTAGCAAATCTTTTCAGGATCACATAGGTCCCCCCAAAATAGTGGTAACTGTCTAAAAATTTCAGAGGTCATTCCTCATTGTTTGAAAAGTGAACTCCCTAAATTTTTACACAAAAATTTTGAAAATTGCTGGTTTTACGGGGCATTTTGATAATCCAAAAAACTTAAATATCTCTGCTTCCTGTGGTCCTACAGAAAAAATCTGGATATATTTGAACTTGTCTTGTCAAGTTCTACAACTATTTTGCTGACTCCAAATTTCTAGGTCAAAGTTCAAGGTCACTAATTTTGAAATTTAAATTTGAAATTCAAAATACTAAGCCAGGCTCACGTCAAAATAAAATTTCGAGATAGCCATTTGATTGCTCGTTAAAATTTACGTATCATACGTAAAAATTGCGCCGTTACTCTTTTTACGTCAATTTAAAATAAAATAACGATATTAAAAAACGTAGTTTTTTGCGCCCCAAGGCTTGCATTCAAAACAATTAACGTAAATAACTCGATTTCTATTAGTTTTAGACCATAATTGATAATGAAAAATATTGTTGCTCGTGAAAAGAAAATTATAAAAATGTGCATACAGATGACCTTTGGTGACCTTGGTACAAAGTTCACCTTGACCTTTGACCCAGGGTGACCAAAACCTGATGTGCGATATATAGTTCGAAAGATCTTTTCAAGACAAATATTTTGGACACTAATTTTTTTATTCTAGCTACAGGAGAATGTAATTAAATGGATTTTTAATTCATTATAATACATTCTTATAGGATGTGTGCTGAAAAATTAGGTTTTTCGGATTTATATAAGCTTTTAGTTGACGAAGAATAATAAAATTGGTGTCAAAAATATTTGTCTTGACAAGGTCTTTCGAACTATATATCGCACATCAGGTTTTGGTCACCCTGGGTCAAAGGTCAAAGGTCAAGGTGACCTTTGTACCAAGGTCACCTTGCACATTTTTTCACGGGAAACAATAGTTGTCATTATCAATTATGGTCTAAAACTAATAGAAATCGAGTTATTTACGTTAATTGTGTTGAATGCGCGCCTTGGGGCGCAAAAAACTACGTTTTTTAATATCGTTATTTTATTTTAAATTGACGTAAAAAGAGTAACGGCGCAATTTTTACGTATGATACGTAAATTTTGACGAGCAATCGAATGGCTATCTCGAAATTTTATTTTGACGTGAGCCTGGCTTAGTATTTTGAATTTCAAATTTAAATTTCAAAATTAGTGACCTTGAACTTTGACCTAGAAATTTGGAGTCAGCAAAATAGTTGTAGAACTTGACAAGACAAGTTCAAATATATCCAGATTTTTTCTGTAGAACCACAGGAAGCCGAGATATTTAAGTTTTATGGATTTTTCAAAATGCCCTGTAAAACCCGTAATTTTCAAAATTTTTGTGTAAAAATTTAGGGAGTTTACTTTCAAACAATGAGGAATGACCTGTGAAATTTTTAGACAGTTACCTCTATTTTGGGGGGACCTATGTGATCCTGAAAAGATTTGCTCTGGCTACAAACTCTTGCATTGTTTATTCAAACAAGACACAATATGATGTATTAATGATATTAGAAGAGATTTTTTGGTAAAAATTGAAAAAGAAAAAAAGTGAATCACAAACAAATTTAGTGAATTTCAAATTATCTATTTTTCTTTTGCGGATGCATCATTTTCTAAGCCTAAGAGAGGCTGCAAAAATCAGAATTAACTTACTTTGTATTTTGTAATAACTATCAAAATAAGCTTAATTGTAAAACTAAACTGATATCGCTCCTCGCCAACTGGGCTCAAATTTAGTATGGCCAGGAGCTTCAAATTGATAAAACTTTTTCCCCGTGAATATTATACCATACACCACATGATACAAGTATTTGTAAGGGTAACTATTGTCATGTTTACTGAATTAAAGAACTGATCTGAAATTACTAAAATTTTAGAATTATTAAAACAACCAAATATTTGAATTGATTGTTCTCAGGAGCCTGGCGACTCAGAATTTGTTGATTTGGAGCAGTGCGCCGCTGCCTTGGAGAAGGACGGGGCAAACGGGGTCGCATTCAGCTTCCCAGATCTCATGGGCGACGACGCGGGCGAGGAGATGCTCTCGTCGGACGCCTTCAAGGAACTAATCAACGAGATTACTGACTTCCACCCCGAGTTCATGAAGGACATCGGTTTCCCCGAAAAGCCCCACGAACACCAACATCCACCCCCAGAGTCGCCAATGCTGCCGATGGACTCAAAACTTGGCGTCCACAGTCCCTCCCAATTCCAGCAGCAGCAGCAGCAGTACGACAAGGGCAACCGCATGGGCACCTTTGACTTCAAGTCCGAACTGCGGCCGGCGGCCCAAACGCTGAAGCAAATGGCTGAGCAGCACCAGCACAAGACCCAGCTCGGAATGAACTTCAGTCCAGCCGCTGCGGCGGCGGCCGTGGCCGCCGGTGGGGCCGCTGGAGGTGGTGCTGGACGAAACGTCCGATCGCCGTACGGAGATTTTGGTTTTCCGACTGGCACTGAGGCGACCGCCTTCATGCACAGCCCCACTTCTGCGCCGCCCCCGCCACCCCCATACCTGAACAAGACGCCTCCGGCCAACTTCGGGGAGCCCACCATGATGCAGCAGCAACAGCAGCAGACCTTTGCCATGGAGCAGAAGCGTCAGATGAGCCAGAAAATGGCCTTCACGCAGCAAAAGCAGCCCCAAATGGGTAACCAGGGCCCTTTCTCGCCCTACGGCAGCCCCAACCACGGCAGCCCCCAGTACATGGCGCGCGGCCAGCAACCCCCTCCCAACGCGGGGCCCCAGGGACCCCAACAGCAATTTGCCGGAGGCTCCACCCCTCCCCACAGGCCACCCTCACTACCCGGAAACGGCCCTACGGGGTCGTTGCACTTGTCGCAATCCCAGCAGATGCACCTCAGTCAGCAGGCTGGACAGCAACAGATGCAGGTAGGACAAAGATTTTTTTCATTTATTTCTGCAAAAAATATTGGACATTTTGGATACATTCAAAATTCAACGCATTGGCACTGTTTTTGGAAAATATGCGACAACCGTTTGGGTCCAGTCTAGGGAACTGGACCAGGGTGCGAATTGCACAGCTTATTTACCCAGCTATTAACTGCTTAATAGCTGGTGCCGGGTCAAAGAACCAACCTTCGTGGTTCGGCACAAGGAGTGCGCAGTGACTAAAGCCTTATTCGATTATCGCCTTAAATAATACTATTGAATGCTTCTCGTATTAATGAGCTTAGACTTTATTAATATTTTCTCAATTCACTGACCCTCACCTGTAATGCTTTTGGCTCACCCTGAAGACCTCCTGTCCAAGGACACAGCCCGCCGGGAGTGCGGTGACCCCAAAGACTTATCTAAAATCACTATGCTAAATATGCTAATATTCTAGGAATTAAAGAATAAAAACTAGACTATATGCTTTGGAGGTCAGACACACACTGTTCTTTTTATTGTGCGGCACCGAGGTGTCGCCTTCTCTGATTTGAGGGGAAATACAGGGAAGTGGGATAACATATTACATGAATACAAAATAATACTGTTCTTAATTTACAGTAATAATATGGTTGTCAGTTTTGTCACAAATAGAAGATTCAAAATCCATTCTATTGAACTTGTCTTGATTTCAAGCTCTCCTTATTTATTAATTTTTTCTTACTTGTGACTTAATTTTTGATTAATAAACAGCAATAATAAGCTATTATTATAATTATTATGTTAAAAGTTTCCACTTGAGCTTGAATATTATAAATAATTTTTTTCATTTCAACTTTGGAATTATTCTTGCAATAATTATATGTAGGAAAAAAATCTAAAAACGAATTATTTCAAAGAATTGATTTTAAAAACCTTACGTGTGTCAGATATGGACTGTTTATTGGCAAACTTTAACACACACAGTGTCGCACCGGAATTTATTCGGCTCGGCCATGTGTTTCTTCTGTGTCTACCAAGGCTGCGATAAGAGACGCAGAAATTTGAATGTCGCAACTCCGACAGCCCATTCGGCTGGTTGGTTGCATCCGCAATCGAGAAGACTGCGGGCAGGGCGTGTTTTCCAGATCCTCAACATGCTTGGCTGATTCCGCTCGCCTAACGCATAGGGCTGTCCTCTCCGAAGGAGTAAAATTTCACTCTCCAAAGAGACACATTCGCGGTTCAAACGAAGAGAGGATAATTTAATTTAATTGATAAAAACAATAAGAGTAGAAAATCGCCAGGACGAGCAACAAGTTGCGGAGCCACGAGCTCTCAGCTCGCGAGCTGGGACGAAAGTTAGTTGTTTGAGAGCAGGCGTCACATGGCGTTGAGACCATCCACGTGCGACGCGAATGATCCAAGGATACAATCTGATCGATAGACCGAACGATTCTTTCCGTTTTCGCAACATCTCATTTAAAACGCGAGAAATAAGAAAAATTGGAAATCAAAGAAGTTTGACCGATTTGGGCTAATTTGATACAAAATCGTTCTGGTTTGAAATCAATTCGAAAAGCATTTTAAATATAATTAAATTTATACAGCATGTATTTTAAGAAATGGAGTACAGTTATTTAAATTTAATTTTTAAAATCAAATCTCACTACATTTTTTTTATTTGCAATATCTGTTTATGATTTTTATAAACTGTACTTTAGAAATTTAAAACGAAAAATGTAATCGATATAAATAATATTTCCAAGGTTTCTGAAGTTCTCCGCGTCGTTTACTTGTATGGTGAATTGCAGCCATTGAAATTCTCAAACACGTCAACTAAACTCCAATTTAACATTCCTTGCCTCAACTTTGATTTTTTTACTTCTAAAAATAAATTATGTTTAAAGAATTACCAATCAATTATGGGGTTTATAAAAAAAATTTAAATTGCAGAAGTTTTTACATTACGTAGTAAAATGAAGTTCCTTCCTTTCAAAAGAATGAGATGGTTAGCTTACAGTGAATTAAGGCATTCAAGGCGCTCGGCATAAACTCATTCCATTCTGCCGCGCTTCTTTTGAAAGGATATAACGCATATAATATAATACATAATAAGATATTTTACTGCTCTGTATGTGTTTATCGCACCCGCGCTCGCAGCCAAGAAGAAAATGCTCTTGACAAATGCCGGATGCAGATAAGCGCGGCCGAGAAAAGAGACAAGAAGACGCTTTACGGTGCTCTGTTTCTTTTCCAATACTTTACCGAATCAAACTCTCGTATATTCATTTGATGTGTTGCGTGAGGGAGCGCAAAATTCGTGCAAACTGGACGGGGACACACGCTGATTGATTTTACAAAGAACTGCCTAATCTAATCCGACGGACGATGGAAATTATTATTATTTATTTTCTATATACCAAAATATTCATAATTACATAATAAAAATCATAACACAAGGAATAACCCTGTTTCTATGGAGGATCTATTTAAAAAACTTATACGGCAACACAGAGTCCAGAAATTATGATTTCAAAAATCTTTAACAAGCTTTGGAGAGACTGAAGCGAATTAACGATACCAATATTTTTATTAGTGAAGAAGTTGTTCTGTGTCAAATTATTTTATGATATCCATGAGTATCTGCTTTGTAAACTTGAATGAATGCAGAATGTTAAATTTACTTATATACATTAAGACTTGTTCCAAAGATCTTCCCAACTGTTCCCAACCACCCCCAACCACCACCAATTAACTATCAATTAATTAATATTGTTATTATCACTTATTTTCCGACAATTAGATCTAAATTGGAATAAAAATCTATTGAATTGAATATTGAACAGTCATAAAGGGTAATTTATGGTAACCATACTAAAAAATTTAAATAGCGAGATGAAAATTGTGTAATATTTAAAGATATTTATGAAAAATTATTTTTTAATTGTTTGAATCTTTTATGGAAACTCTTTTTATTGCGAAACATTTCTGCGAAGGTTTTTTCTAGATTAAAATTTGATGGCAGTGGATGTAATTTTCACGTTCCTTGATTTCAACTTTTCTGTCGGATTCCACGGAGGCAGCATTTGTATAATAATTGGACTACCTGAACGCACGCAGGAGACCTTGATGGCGAGGATGGTCGGTCGGTCGGTCGAACATGCGAGCTTTTGGGCGGGGGAGTCGCACTCTTGAGCTGGAAAACAAACTCCCGAGGCGAAAGCCAGTTTTTTCCTCTGAAAATAATATGCGCGTACGCGGAGAAGACGAGAAATAAAGAAAGAAATTGGGCTCTTCTTCGCGCTGACCGGCCTTGGGCGCATCATCATTTCCACCAGTTTTTGGCTGCGGAGAAGCGACACCTTTTGGTGAATTATTAAAAACCAACCGCAAAGTTTTTACTCCATTTCTGTTAAAGGTACAATAAAAAATCTTAAATTTTTTTCCGAAAAATTAGATTCTTATAAAAAAATTATTATATCCATTTGAATTCAAATTTGATCTTCAAGATTGAATTTATTATTAATTTTAAATCCCAAATTTATTTAATCCAATTTTTTTGTAAATCTGAATTTGTGAATTTTCCAAACTATATCAAAATCAAACTCATTTCTACAATATTTGCCACCGGTTTTTTTTTAATGAAAAAGATATATATTGTTTGGTTTGGGGCGAATCGACCCCTGATTACCGGTGCGGTGGAGGCTGGGGCGACTTTTCGCCGCCTCTCGCGTTCTTCTCGGTCGGTCGAGAGAGTGTTTGCGGAGGAGCAAAAGAGGAGGCGCGCATTTTTATGTGTTTATCGATTCGCGCGCGCTGCCTCTCTCTCTCTCTCTCTCTCTCTCTCTCTCTCTCTCTCTCTCTCTCTCTCTCTCTCTCTCTCTCTCTCTCTCTCTCTCTCTCTCTCTCTCTCATCTCTCCTCTCTCTCTCTCTCTCTCTCTCTCTCTCTCTCTCTCTCTCTCTCTCTCTCTCTCTCTCTCTCTCTCTCTCTCTCTCTCTCTCTCTCTCTCTCTCTCTCTCTCTCTCTCTCTCTCTCTCTCTCTCTCTCTCTCTCTCTCTCTCTCTCTCTCTCTCCTCTCTCTCTCTCCTCTCTCTCCTCTCCTCTCTCTCTCTCTCTCTCTCTCTCTCTCTCTCTCTCTCTCTCGCGCCTGCCGCCGTTCTGCCATGGCTAACCCCGAGCACAGCCAAGCACCACGTCATTTCGCGCGCCCCTTGCACTTCTTGCACCCGCAACGGCCGCAACGCACCGGCCCACGACGCCGCATCGAGGCGCCGCCACTCGCACACCCCACAGATATAGAATGATACAGAAAGTGTCGAAAAGCCGGCAACCGACGCGATATTCAAAATCAAGAAACAAATGGAAAGGTTTTGGTGTCTAGGACTTTATTTTTAATTTGAAATTATTTTTATTCTTCAAAGTAAACATATTTTTAATCGAAGGAAAACTTTTTATTCATTTTTCAATTTTAAAACAAATTTCTCCCTAATTTATGATAATTATGATATATATTTAAAAATGCTAAAGAAAAATTTCCTAGTAATTATTGCCAGGAGAATGTTGAAAAATTAAATTAATTGGCGGAATTTTTATGAATATTGAGGAGTTTTTGGAAATTTTGTATACATCTTGTTTATTCAACTTGATTCACTGGAGAAAATTTTTGTTTCGTCCGATTTCGCCAAGTTGGGCTCGCGATGCCCTCGAGGGCGCCCTCGGCAGATCGATTGCAGGGCGGCGCGGCGCTTCGAGTGGCGCTACTGTAGGCGGCGCACGGGGGTGCAAAGGCATTCATTGATCCCCTGCATTGCCTGCCTGCCCACTGCCTGCGCATCCCCCGCGCCAAACACACCGACACACGACGAGCCACCCCCTCCGCCGCCCCCAAAAATCTCCGCCGCCGCCACTGCCTTCTTCCCGTCCAGCCACTCATTAGCACCGATCCAACTCCAAATTCAGAATCATTATTCATTTTAAGATAATCAATAAAATATTTAAAGAAGTAATTTTACCGTA